TTTCAAAATAAAAGAAGTTTCCTTTAGTTTCTGTACTAGTAAAAATTAATCTCCTAAAAAGGATTTCGGAAGGTAATTTTCAAAGGACCTCACCTCAATTCCAATTTCCATGTGATCCACCAAAGCTGGTGAAGTTCGACTCTGAGCCCGGACAAACAGTCTGTATGATGGAGTTGTCTCCCAGTCAAGACGTCGCATCAGTCGCAAACGACCCAAAGAATCCACGGTAAAGATTGCTGGTTTATTGGCACTTGGAGTGAAACCTTGTACAATGCTGTAGACTACTGGCCCAGAGCTGCGAGCCTTGATTGTGGCAATGATTGCTCCAACCTGGGGAAGAGAAGAAATAATAATAAAATTTGAGCTTGAAGTTGTGGGTGAAAAAGAAGCTAAACAAAATACCTAATTTACAAACACTCGAGCAGCTTGCTCGTCAGAGTGAAAAAGAAGCTAAACAAAATACCTAATTAACAAACACTCGAGCAGCTTGCTCGTCAGAGTGAAAAAGAAGCATATCAATAGCATACAGAATCAAGGTACATGGGAAAAACAAGTTGACACACGGATAAAACTAGGATAAGAACAATGCAGTCTCTAACCAAAAGGAGCCAAAACAGGAAACACACTGTGGAAAATGCAAATAAGAAATAAAACTAGGACTTCCTCAGACAAATGTTTAATCAAATTTTCTTAAAGTACACATTTGTTTCATAACATTTCCTCCCAGAACGGACATCATTTGTGACAGTTATTAGTAATACACAAACAGACCTGCTCATCCTCATCCACAAAGAAGAGTCTGCGAGACTCCAAGAACTTTGGCGGTGAGTCGTTCCGTCCCATGACCAAAATCTCCACAGGGATGTGACTCTCCAGGGAGGGCTCACCACCATCTGCCGCACGCACAAAGAACTGGAACAGCTGGTTTTCTAAGGAAAGGGAGAAAAAGATCGGTCAACACTCAGTAGTCATAGCTAGGGAGAAGTAGATGAGAAACAGATTTTATTCAATTAAATGATTTACTTCTTAAGGTCTATAAGAAGAAAAAATGTACACCATCATAACGACTACTTCAAACTTTGTTAAAGAAAAGAAACCATACAAGCAGCAGCACTGTAGGATGGATTATTTTTTGCAAGCAGAATCTTACTTCCAAATTTGGGGAAAATGTTTTTGGTGCCAGCATCAATGAGGGAGATAATTTGCACCATGATTACTTAAAAATTTGTGAAAGAAGAAAATCTGTACCAGCATCAATGAGAGAATCTCTGGGGACAATTTCTCCCGAGTAAGCGTTGACGTCGAACAGTTTCTCCACCATCTCATCATTGCCAGGGTGGAGTGTGTACAGGATTTTGGCATTGTTGCCCTCGTCAAGGTCCACGGCCTGGAGCTGGGGATGTGGGACATGAGAATGTCAGTGAATAACGGGAGTATGGCTACATCCTCCAGCTAGCAGTGTTTTTGTTTTAGTAAAAGCTTTACGGCACTAGCAACACAATCATGTCTTCGTTTTTGTTTTAGTAAGAATTTTGCAGTACTTGCAAAACAAATATGTCGAATGAGTGCTGAAGATTAGAGGTGTTACAAGCGAGTAACAAACAGAAAAAAGAAGGAGGAGAGATAAGGACGATTGGAGAGAAGGAGCAAACCACACCAGAGCACTCGCAAACCATCCACTCCAGAAGTATGGGACACACAGAGCCATAAGACATGCATTTCGTAAAACTACTAGCAGATTCACATTCAGACATATTTTTTCTTTACTTTCTTTTCTTTTTAGAGATAGTTAGTAGTATTTACAAACCAGGTCTAATTATAGGCAACCAGCCACTAAAACTAATCCAGCCCTTCTCTTTGTCCCTGGGGATCCAAAATTCGTCCATTGAAGCATGAACTGACCCTGTGTCATGAAGAGGTTAACTGATTGGCAACATTTAGTACCTGACCCCTCCCCCCCAAAAAAAATAGGAAGACAGAGTAAAACTCTCACCTTTAGGATGGAAGTCTTCTTAGATGCATTGTACGGAATGTTAGCTTTGTATTCCTCCATGAGAAACTGAGGCAGGTTGTCGTTCTCATCTCTCACTCGGACAATAACAGTCGCAAATCCCATCTTGCCACCATTGTCTGTAGCAGCGATAGTGAACGTGTACTTGCTCTCTTTCTCTCTGTCCAGGAGTTCCTTTGTGGTGATCTCCCCTGAAACATAATTTCAATGAAAACACAATTCCAATAAATTTTGGAACGAAGAGACAAACTATAGAGCTCACGGGTTGGTAGAGAAAGGCAAAAAATTAAACACAGTGGAGACACTGCTTCATAACCTCTTTAATAAAGTCTAATAAATTAGAAAGAATGACAAAATGAAGAGATTCATAGAAAACATGTCTGAATCATTTGAAACAAAACAAAAATAAGATCACTCTCTGAAAACTAAAATCATAGTAAGTCATTCCAAACAGCGATCATTAAAGATCTTAAAAATTTGGGTTTTACTTTGTGCCTATCATAACGTTATCCTTTTCTTTCAAAGAATAGTGCATAAAAAGTATACATCTAATCATACTTCATCTCATCGGAAGAATGGCCAGAAAGACAATAAACTTACCAGTATCTGCGTCGATTCCGAACTTCTTCCCCATCTCATCGCTGATGATGGAGTAGGTCAGCATCCCATAATTCCCTCTATCGTTATCAACAGCCGAGGCAGTGACGATACTGGTCCCCACACCGCTGATCTCCGAGACCACCACATTGTACGTCTCTTTCCCAAACACAGGCGTGTGTCGGTTCACGTTGTGTACGTCTATGGTGACACGGGCAAAGCTAGAGTACACACCGTCACTGACTGACACGTTTAGAGTGTAGGCAGCACCCAGGATGGGCTGCCTCTGCTCAGAAAGGGAGATAATTCCTGCGCTGGATTCCATGTCAAAAGTGAACTTCTCGTTGCCTCCGACAATGCTGTAGAGGAGGTTGTCCACGTCTGATTCGTCAGGGTCGAAAGCCACGACCTTGAAGACAAGCTGACCTCTGGTGGCACCATCGCTAATGTAACAGTCGTAAGAGGGCTGGGTGAACACTGGTGGGTTGTCGTTCAAATCCAGAACCTGATGAACAAACCAAGTTAAGACAATAAATTTCTAAATTCTGAATTTTACTTCCCCTGACCCTTGTGAGGAAATCATGCAGCCAGTGGCTTACATACTTTTATGAAAACATACACCTAAAAATACATAAATTCATCAGTGATACATAATACACAATATCACTTCAATACAGATGATGTTTTTACAAACATGTCATAGCTGATCACCACCATGCAGCGTTCTATTTTTTGAGCTAGCTCCAGGAAATACTCAAGTAATGACCAACCTAAATGATATATCAAATACACATAAAAACCAAGACATTCTGATAGCATACTCCCCATGGGTACATCTCTGCTGTTGAGCTGAACATCTTAATTCCACAAACACAAACACACACATACACACACACACAAACACACACACATATGCATGCATGCGCACACACCTGCGGGCACACATTCACAAACACACTCACACACACACACACGCACCCGCGCAACCACTCAAACACACACATACACACACACACACACACACATACATCATACATACACTCACACAAACTTATACATTCATACACTAGCACACTCACACACACACAGACTACCTTTATATGTATCTCGGCTGTGGAGCTGAGTGCGGTATTCCCGCTATCCGTGGCCACAGCCAGGAACCTGTACTCTGTCTGCTCCTCATGATCCAGAACCTTCCTCAGGGTCAGCTGTCCGGTCTCTGGGTTGACCAGGAAAGTCTCAGGATCCCGGTTTCCTGGGGCTATCGGTGCCAGAGTGTAGTGGACCAGGGCGTTGGCTCCCTGGTCAGTGTCCGTGGCATTGACGGTCAGGATGTTAGCGCCAAGGCTGGCAGACTCGGACAGTGTTTGTGTGTAGGTCAGGCTGGTGAACACCGGTGGATTGTCGTTGATGTCCTAGCCAGAGAGAAGCAATGATAAAACAAGATGAGATAAGATAAAGTAAGGTAAGGTAAGGTAAGGTAAGGTAAGGTAAGGTAAGATAAGATAAGATAAAGAAAAAATAAGAAGGTAGGGTAAGATAAGATAAGGTAGGGTAAGATAAGATAAAATTAGATAAGATAAGAAAAGATAATACTTTTAGTTTTAGTAGAGGTTTTACAGCGCTCGCAACTGCACAAGGTCATGTGAGCGCCAGAAGATTAGAGGTGTTACAAGAGAGTAACAAACATAAAAAAGAAGAAGGGGAGATAAGGATGATAGAAGTTTCATAGGAAAGAAGAAGCAAACCACACCAGAGCACCTGCCAACCACCCACGATAATACTTTATTGTTCCAGAGTTAATAAATCAATCAGACTCAGGCCGCTCATTCTATATAGCTATAACTTAGAAATAACGTCAGCACACCGTTCATAACTCGATTTATGAAAGCAACATTTGCTACACACAAGACCTACCTGTTTCTACCGACACAACCACAATATTTTAACAATAAACAAAACCGTTTCTCACCTCTACAGTGATGTTGACAATGGCCTCTGCGAAATTCCCTGTAAAAACATCGCTGGCTCTGACGGTGAGAAGATAAGACTTGGTGTCCTCATAGTCCAAATGTCCAACCACAGACAGGTAGCCTGGACGGAGTAAATGAAAAGGGAGAAAAAAATGAGTATGCAAACTATACAAAACAAAACAAAACCAAAAATGTCAAAATTCATGTGCTTATATGCGGACGATTTTCAAAATGTCAAAACGTATTTTAAAGATTTTTTGAAGAATTTGAAAGAACAAATACTAACATAGAATTGGCGACAATCTCACTTCTCTTTCCAAATCCAATTTCCCTTTTGAGTTTTCACAAATTGATATAAAATAACATAGATTTCACTCATTGCTTATTCCAGACTCGCACTGTGGCCTATACTTCCAGTTCATCTAGCAGACATCACACTCTCCCCCCTCTAAAATAAATGAATAAATAAACATAAATAGTCATCAAACAATGCTTCCATTTATTTGTCATCACAAAAATGTATGTCTAAATACAGATGATACTGACACCCTCCCTAAAAAACAAAAAACAAAAAACAAAAAACAAAACAAAAGCAAAAACAAAAAAACCCAACCTAATAATAAAGCAGCTTACAGGGGAACCATCTATTGGTCTACACTCAAACATTTCTACTGGGTCAACAATTAAAATGTTTACAGTAGTAATACATCATGACACCAAAACATGAAAACAGTGGAAGAAAAACAAAATCGACACAGAGCATGATAAAAGATCGGAATAAACACAACGTGTAGAGAAGTACAAAGGCAAAAACGTGAATTATCTATAGGCTAGCATCCTATACTGCGCACTGTCTTGGCCGTCATTAAAAAAAAAAAAAATGGCCGCGAGCCGTGCGCACCATGGGCGCTCAAATGTAGGTAAAATTACCAGATCACTATCCTGCTATAGTCAACTGCATGCGGCACGTTTTCCCTATTGCCCTTCGTTTTGCCCCAAACTGAATCAAATTTTTAATTAATGATGTGCTCCATAGCGAACGAGAATAACGTCAGAGTGAACGGTCTAAGATATTATAATACATGTACATATTATTATAAGAATCTCTGAGTGAAACAAATGGAGCTCTACAATGGGACTTCTTGGTGGGATCTATACTTCCATCTGTGGCACCATATTAAATACTTAATCGGCTAATGACAAATCTTATGCTTTTGATTGACAAACATTTTGAGTTCTACCAATACACAAATACCATAAGTTAGTACAATCTCAAATTCCCAGGTCAATTCAATGAAAACACAAAATGAATAAATCAGCAATTTCTCAAACTAACTTACTTTGGGAATTGAACAAACACAACAACAGTCATATCACATTTGTTTCCTACGCCCGGCCGGTTTAAAACAAAATAGAATCCCGACAGGCTAAGAAACGGTACTGTCAACATTAATCATATTTATTTATTTATCAATTTATTTTTATTCATTTCTTTATTTATTACTCGAACACACAAGAAAATAGCTACCACGTCCCCCAAAAACTTAGTAACCCTTATGACATCCCCGACTGTGGGACAAAATGATGATTAAAAGATTACATTAATAATATAACACATAATAATCCATTAGAAAATCGCTCAAAATACAATAATACAAAGAACACAGAGTTCCAATGGTGATTCTTTCACTCCAAGCAACCATGCGAAGCGGAGTAGAACGCAATTATCGTCATGCAGTCTGTGAGTAAAAATATCAACTCACTGTTCATGCATATAATTTTAAAACAAAAGATAAATTTGACCAGACGTCATATAATTAAACCGATAAAACTGAACGAAAATGCATGCTGTCAATATGAAAATATTAAAAAAAGATAACCTGTATAGTTATTTCTCTCAAAGTTATTTCGGAACAGTAGCCTATTAGCTATAAAACAGTATCAATGTGGGATTTCATTTTTCACTTTTAAACATTTAGAGCGTATTACATACAATTCATATGGTAAATTGAAGGAGTTGGAGAGAGAGAGAGAGAGAGAGAGAGAGAGAGAGAGAGAGAGAGAGAGAGAAGGGGGTGGGGGGATTTCAAGAAGCTGAAAACAAGGAGAGTGTGAAGAGAAGAGAAATAAAAAAAGAAAGAAAACAGAAAGCAGGGACACAAAAAGGGGATCGGGTTGGATAATGTAAAACCAAGGTAAAAATCTATAGGTCCTATCTGCTGCAGACCATGAGCAGTGTAGATATATGTGTGCATTCTTCTTCCAACCTTAGAACAACCCTGTTAGATCTCATTTTGTCACAAAAACAAACAAACAAAAAAATCAACAAAAAAATAACATTCTGTCTATTTCCTTTGTCTGAAAAAAGTAAAAGGTTCCCTGCAACGCAGACCAATAAACTGAACCCCTTTCCCCTCATTGCATCAATTCACTAAGCTACCTCGAAACAGTCGCTCCACCCTCTTTACTCCTTTCTGTTTCCCCTCTTTACCCAATGTGCGTAAGCACGCGATATCAGGTGTAAAAACACGGTATTAGAAAGAGCTGGGGGTGTTAAGCAGGGTCAGCCCTATGCAAGAGCCAAAATGCATCATGGTAGCAAGCATGGGAGAAATAAGCGGCTGTGGAAAATATTATAACGTATTACAAAATTCAGCACCACATCACAGAGTGAAGACCGAGAAGAAGATCTACGAATCCCAGGAACTAAGCAGAGAAAAACCAGGTTTGGGCAGGGGTGAGGGCGGGGTGTGTCTGTCGCACTGACAAAAACACAGTAGTCGACAGGTTTGGCGTACTCATTAATATTAAATATGTTTTTTATTCAAAGGCGCACGATTACTTTAGCCACACTGTTACTTCGGAGATGGGGGAAACACACAGCAAAAGGTAAACGAGAGAGAGAGAGAGAGAGAGAGAGAGAGAGAGAGAGAGAGAGAGAGAGAGGAAAAAGGCCAGAACCCTTGACACACCACCATGAAAAAGAACTCAACTCCTTTAGTATTATTATGTTAGACAGTGACAAGAAGGCATTGGGCACACTGTAAACTTATATACGTGTTTCAAACAATTTCTCAACAGTTACAACAAGGTTAATTTTGTTGGCAGTTCGCAGTTCGCAACTACATGCATAAAAATCTTTTGATCTTTTCTTTTCTTTTTGAATTTTTGCTGCTTGTACCTTACAGAACAACATGGCGAACAATAATAGCACTCCAGGATTAAAAATAAAATTATCATAAGACGAGGTGAAACCGAGAGAGCACTCTAATAGTAGAAATCATTTCAAGAGACGAAATCCCAAGTGAGATCATATGACCACCCCAACTGCACCCCCCCCCCCCAAAAAAAAATAAAAAAAAATAAATAAATAAATAAAAATCCAACTAAGATCACTTTAAAAAATCCCGAGTGAGGTCACATGATAAAATTAAATCATACAGAGCAAGATCACGTGACAAAACCCCCTGTGAGATCGTGTGGCAAAAAGTAAAAGAATGCAGAAATATCAAAATGTACCATAAGAATAGAACTTTGGCTTCACAGCATACAAAAACAACCATTAACATGCATGTTATCATTAGCAACATATTATATTGGGTCGCCAGGCATTATTATAAACGTATCTCAACAGGATAAAGCTAGAAGCTAAAGTGCTTATTAAAAGCGTTGTCCTCCTAAAGGCTCCCTCCCACGACTTTTAATTAGTTCCTTAATCGCGAAAAAAAAAATTCTGCCTTAACCACTACACTTTTATCCTTGGTCCGAATACAAATGATTACAGGACAATAATATTCTCATTATTTGAAAAAAACAAAACAACAACAACTTGTTAGAAAATAAAAATGATACCTTTTCTACAATAAAAACAGCAAGTTTTTAAGGTACCCTTTAAATATGATACCTATTTATCTATTTACTTACATTGCATTTATTTTCAAAAAAAGTTTCAGTTCACTAAATGAGAAAAACAAAGGTAAGAAAATAAAACAAAGGACAATATTTAGCGGAATGTACACAACAAAACTACGTAATCACTTTATGTGTACAAGTATAAGGAAGTAGTAGGGATCAAGGCCTGAACTACGGGAGACATTAAGAGTAGGAGATACACATTTCAATATAAAGTTGTTTTTTTATCTTACAAAAACACGATCTAGCAATGGTTGCAGTCTACTAAATGCCGACTCGATACAGCATTCCTCAGACACGGAAAAGATAACGAAAAAAAAGAATGAGTGAAAAAATAAGTTGAGAGAAACATCAAAGAATGAAGAAATACTTACATGGACCCAAATTTTCCATGTCTGAGAGCGAATGAGGGTCAGTGGTTTTAAAAACACGGATTATGAGACGGTACAGAACATGATTAGAATTTTGATGCAGAAGGAGAAGGAAACCAAACTCATAAAAGCAAACGGAGAGCAGAGAGACAGACAGTCGATGCAATCGTGTTTGGGTGGCAAGTACATTAGTTTTAAAAAAACAACAAAAAAACAATCATTTATTCACATCATTGCAGGCTTGTGTGCGGTTGTTGAACATTAAAAGTAGAGAAGGTATGACTCGTGAATGTAACACAGAAACGTCGTAGGACTTACAAGAGAGGATGGGAAATGGAAACATCATTAATTTTCATGAAAGACTTGGGTGTTCAATAAGGAAACGTGTTCGTCTCTGATAATGTGCACATGTGAAAGCATTTGAAAAATCTGGTTTTTGAGTTTTCTTAACAATAATTTTTTTCCACTCTGTAGCGATCACTAAAACGTAACCAGGCCAGAACAGATACACACACAAAACGACAGAAAAAATGTATTCTCATGAGATGGTGGGGGTGGTGCGATGACGCAACCACAAATAAAAATCAGTCAAAGGGTGCGAACGGGTGATGGTCAACATTTCCTCAGGTGTTTGGTTTAGTAATGCACACACCATCGCCCCCTATCTCATGTGTTGGTTTACCCTAGCACGTATCCATAGTAGCGTGGAAGGAGAGGGGTGGGGAAGAAGGGGAGAGCATGCACAACAGCATGGCCTTCCGAGAAATACATGGTTTTTCTCATTCTACAGAACACACAAACTCACACAGGCACACACATACGCCTTTTCTAACCTGTGACTCGGAATTCAGAGCAGTTTTACTATTCAAAAGTGATTTGTATTCTCAGCTAATGGAACAGGGGGAAACACATTTCTACAAAAATACACGCCTACTAAGAAGTGCCAGTGTGACGTCAGTTGTGTAGAAGAAGCAACAGAACAGAGTCCAAGAATAAGGTAACAGGCAACGAACCCCCACATGAAACTAGAAAATTGACCAATGTGTTTGTGAGAATCAAGCAAAGTTGTAAGAGACAGATCCACTCTTTTCAAGAACTCCTTCTGACACAACAGCTACTGCCGAACAAATCCGTAAGCCCAAGTAATAGGAATACTAACATAACTAAGGTGCATGTACAACAGGCAAATAAACTGAAGCTCAGTATTCAAGAGAAAAAAAAAGCCACAGGAGTTATCACAAATTAATTTGAGAAGAAAGGATATCCAGATTTGATCAACTTGATAAGTTTTAGCCAAGCCTGGAAAAAGAGAAGGAAATCAATGCGAGCCAGTAGACGGAAAAGAGGTTCCAGAGATTTTTTTGAGAGTTCATGGAGATAAATTTTCACCAACGAGCAAACAGACGGTAGAGTTTGAAAACAAAAAGAACGACAAATGAATATGCAAGAGTGAAAGTGTCAAAACGAACAGCACATCTGCACATGCCCCTCCAGTCTACCTATTATGAAAAAGTACTCCCTCCCAAAAAAAAAACCTCACACTAAATTGATCAGGTAATAAAACAGGAATGCCACTCCAAACACCAGCTGACACACTTTAAATATGTAAGATTTTCTCTATTTAAAAACGCTGAAGAAGCAAAAAGATGACAGCTTTCTATACCATTCATGACAAAGTCATTGTCAAAAGCTTCGGCAATGCAAGAAACAACAGGAAAATTTTCAGTCGCGATGAAGAAAAGGGGAATAACGAAAAAGCATTACATTCCTGCCACCTAAACAAACGTAATTAATCGGTATGTCCTAAGACAAAATATGAAGCAAGTGTTGTGTAAAGCAAGAAAAGAAAATGGTCTTTCCAAATTTATCGGAAAAAAAAAATTAAGATTCTACCTGAAATTCTACCCAAACTTCAAAATACAACTCCAACCAATAAAAGAATATAGCAAATAAAAATGACCAAAGAAAACCCCCCAAAAAGCTAGATATGAGGGCAATTGCAGTCACAATCTTACAATGCACTTGACAGCTTCTCCCAAGAGATAAACAACTTTTATGATGTGAAGGTATGATGAAAAAAGTAATAAGTAACAAAAATATGATTTTATTTATATTTGTAAATATCTGCATATGAATTTAGCTCACTAAAACCTAAATACATGTCCTCTCTATCAGTATTGATAAATGAAATAACAAGGTGATTATAAATCTTGTGTATGTTTGACTATGAGTGAGACATATATAATTTTGACAGAATTATAGAAAGGTAAGAGAAAGCGTAGGAGAGTGACACAAACGAGCAAAGGGAAATAACCCACCAGTATTGAAGTCGAGGGAGAACTCCCCGTACTTGTCTCCCCTGCTGATGGAGTAGATGAGTTTCTGTCCGTGCGGCGAGATGGCCTTGACCGACTTGACCGGCGTGTGGGGAGCCACGTTCTCAGGGACGCTCGTCTCGTACACCGCCTGCTCAAACAGTGGACTCGAACTGTCGATGATGTGGACCACCACGGCGGCCACTGCAGTCAGAGGTGGTGAACCTGGTTTGTGGAGGACAGAGAGACATTTGTGAGTGGGTGGAGGGGAGGAGGACAGAGGCATTGGTGGGTGGCAGACAGCGGAGGACAGAGGCATTGGTGGGTGGCAGACAGCGGAGGACAGAGACATTGGTGGGTGGCAGACAGCGGAGGACAGAGAGACATGAGTACGTGGGTGGAGGGGTGGAGGACAGGTGGGTGGAGGACAGCAGAGGACACAGAGACATTGGTGAGTGGGTGGAGGACTGAGACATTGGTGGGTTGAGATCAGAGACTTGGGTTGGTGAATGGAGGACTGAGAGACATTAGTAGGTGAGTGGAGGGGTGGAGGACAGAGACATTGGTGGGTGGAGGACAGCAGAGGACAGAGACATTGGTGGGTGGAGGACAGCAGAGGACAGAGACATTGGTGGGTGGAGGACAGCAGAGGACAGAAACATTGGTGATTGGAGGTGGGTGGAGGACAGAGACATTGGTGGGTGGATGGAGGACAGAGACATTAGTGGGTGGGTGGAGGACAGAGAGACATTAGTAGGTGGGTGGAGGGCAGAGACATAGGTTGGTGGGTGGATGTGGGTAAGGGACAGGGACATTGGTGTACTTCACAACATGCCGTAAAAAAAACAACACCCCAACAAAAAGACAAAAAAACCCAAACAAACCAAAAATAAAAGATAGGTTGGAAAAGGAAAGGGGTGGGGAGGGGAGGGGGGGGTGATTATTTTATGAAAGGTATGAATGGTAAAAGACGTGACACACTTTCATTCATTGTTATATATACACATCCTGATAAGAGGAAAAAAATCAGATCAAAGTGCCATAAAATCACACTTACCTGGCCACCTGAGTTTATATTCCATAACTCCATGTCATTTCCCTTCAACAGATAAAGTTTTAAGGTTTACCATAGCTCCAACTTATTCATCTTCCAAAAGGAAAGTTTACCTTTGTCTTGAGCGATGACCTTGAGAACGACCTCTGTGTTGTGGTCTCTCTCCTCCAGTCCCTTGACCACAATCTCCCGAGTGTAGGGGTTGATGGCAAACTTGTCATTGCTGGTGTCAGCCAGCGAGTACTTGATAGCCGCGTTCTCCCCAAGGTCAAGGTCAACAGCTCGGACCTATAATGCACAGAAAACGAAATTGTCAAAATACCAGAGTTACAACAAACAGTCTAACCTGTTCTTAACGATCACCTATCTAAAACAATCACCTGCACAAATGACCACTTCCCATTTCCCTCATGCATCTATTTAATATTTATATTATCATGACACTCAAAATGTACTACACAACCTCTTTTCTACCTCGACAATTTGCTCTAAATAACGCATTTCTAAATAATCATTTTCATTTTCCTCATAATATTAAAATTTGAAAGCAAAATCAGCTGTCGAAGGAGTTCACATAAAACTTCCTTCTTGAATTATTTCCCTTTCCATTGAACTTACCACCTGGATTACTTTCCCTTCCTTCGCGTCCCCTGAGACGGTGCAGTGGTAAGGGAGGTTCAGAAACATTGGTGGGTTGTCATTCTCATCTTCCACCGTTACCATGACAACCACATGGGCTGACAGCTCAGGGACACTCGTGTCTTCCACCTGCGATGGAAAGTAGAAAGGGGAGGGGGGGGGGAATCAATACTCCTTAATACACACCGCGAGAACATATCGTTCCCTCAGAACTATTTTGACCTAAGTGCCTCTTTACTTAAGTACACTTTGGACAAAATGGTTCAGAGGCGACGTTATGGAAACCTTAATTAACATGATTCAGAGCGTTTTGCTTTCCTATTTTAGTTGGAAATATGAGCAGTGTTTAAACATCAATATCGGCAGCTATATGAACGAGCAGAATTGATATCAAAAATATTTTTTTAATGAAGAGTAGAAGACTACTTTGGTTTCCTTGACAACCACTGAGTAATAGTTTAAAATACAATCGTTGTGCAATTGTTTATCATGACAATCATCATGTAATTGTTACCTTGACAACCACTGTGTAATTATCTTTCTCCTCCCGGTCAAACTGGACCCCGGAAGTGGACAAAACCCCAGATGTCTGGCTGACGTTGAAGAACTGACGGTTGTTGAGCAGGGTGAAGGTCAGGTGCTGTCCAATAGCCAGGCCAACAGGTTGAATGACAACCAGCTTCAGTTCGGCAGCAGAATTCTCGGGCACAGCAGCTGTGTATCTGTGACCAGCGAAAGGAAAACGTCAACATACCGACATGAGTCAGTCCGCTTCTAGAACTACTCACATCTCTATATGACATTACCCACAATAACAAAGATTGTTGTTGGCAATGGTTAATATCACATTGTGATGCAACAAAAGTTTTTTTGCAGTCAGCAAAGGACAGTGCATAAACGAGACGCCGTTCAAATAGTACCAAAAAAAACCCCAGCGAGATAAGCAGAACGAAAGAATAGAGGGAGACAGAAGAAGTAGGACCAACCAGTGGCACACTCCAACCACGAGCAAAAGATTTCTAGATATCCTAGAACAATCTCTCTCTCTCTCTCTCTCTCTCTCTCTCTCTTACTCTCTCAGACAGACACAAGATAGGCAGATAGATATACAGACAGACAGGCAGGCAGACAGACAGACAGACAGACAGACAGATTGATAGATATATAAATAGATGGATAGATAGACAGACAGACAGACAGACAGACAGACAGACAGACAGACAGACAGACAGACAGACAGACAGACAGACAGACAGATTGATAGATATATAAATAGATGGATAGATAGACAGACAGATAGATAGATATATAGATAGATTACCAACCTGTCTTGGGTAAACTTGAAGCTGGCCTCCGACTCCTGCTGTATGGAGACGTAGACTCTGGTCAGAGTGTGAAACTTTCCGTCACTCGCCTGAACCTGCAGCTCATACTTGGGTTGTGTGACGACGCTCTTCTCTACCCTGATCACGCCAAAGACAGGATCGATGGCGAACACTCCCTCCTCATTGCCGGACACTATAGAGAAAGAGAGCGGTTTGTCGTACACACTGTCTGGATCTACAGCGTCTAGACGGATAACTGTGACGTCAGAGTACGTTGGAAGTACGACTAAAGCTTCGTAGGTGTGGTGTCCAAACCGAGGTGGGCAGTCGTTGATGTCTGTGATGTAAACGAGAACGGATGCCGTCATGAACGCCTGAAGTTGTGGGTTTCCCGCGTCGCTGACTTGGACAGAGAAGTTAAATTGTGATTGAGTTTCGTAGTCGAGCGAAGCTACGCTGCGTATAGCACCAGTGTTCGGGTCAATAGCGAAATACTGCAAGACATCATGGTTGATGATTTCGTAATGGAGTCTGGCGTTATTGTTCGAGTCTTTATCTGTGGCTTGGACGACTAGAGGAGCTCCGTTCTCGCCCAACACCATGGATCCCCGAAGAGCTGACTCGCTGATGTTGCCTTGGTAGCGAGAGTAGACGAACTCCGGCGCGTTATCGTTGACGTCAATAATGTGGATGATGACAGACACGGACTGGGACGCAGAGATGATGTTCGTAGCTGTGACTGTTAGATTAAAGAACTCGTGCTCTTCAAAGTCAATGGGCTTCAGAGTGAAGACAACGCCCGAGTTAGGGTTCACGCTGAAGAACCCTTCGTCATCCCCTGACGTTATGGCATACACGACCGTGGAAAGACTGTCGGCCGTCAGTGACGTCACAACAGTGTTTGGTGGGAGATTTTCCTGCAGTTCCACCGGGTACTCTTGAGCGGAGAATTTTGGAGGTGCATTTTTGGAGACGGTGACGGCGATGTTGACCGTGGTGGAGCTGGAGAGAGGCGGATGACCCTTGTCTGTAGCGGACACCAGGAGCTGGAAGTCTGCCCGGACGTGGCGGTCCAGTTCTTTGGCAACGGAGATAATGCCCAGTCTCTCGTCGATCCGGAATGTGTTGTCAGCATTGCCTGGTGGTTCGGAGAGAAGGGGTGAGGGGGGCGGGGAGAAATTGCATTATTTAACATAGAAACAAACAAAAAACCTCGACGAGGGGAATACACTTTATTTACAAGTCCAAGTATATAAATTCAAGCAAACAACAGCAACGATGATGATGACAGGGGCAACAACAACAACAACAGCAGCGATTACCAATTCAACTCAGGGACCACTGATCATATCTGTTCTTCTCCTTCTCTCTCGCTCTCTCTCTCTCTCTGTCTGTCTGTCTTTCTCTCTCTCTCTAATTGCTCTCCTCTTACCCCCTCTCTTTCTATCGCTCTTTCATCCCCTGTCTCTATCATTCCCCTCCTCCTCTCTCCCCCCTCTTTCTTAATTTTCGTTTTCTCACAAGGACTTGCACACATACACACACACACACATACACACACATATACAAGCACACAAATAGACGCAAACATACCCCCCAAACACACACACACACACACACACACACACACACACACACACACACACACACACATCGTAACACACACAAGCAGCACCCACCAGAGACAAAAGCATAAGACAACTCGGCGTTGATCCCCTTGTCTCCATCCACAGCCATGACCTGAAGCACAGAAGTCCCCACAGCCGCTGTCTCATACACCTGACCTCTCTGGGCCGTGGCCAGGAAGCGAGGCGTGTGGTCATTGTGGTCAAGCACGTTGACCTCCACACGGGCGTAGCTACGCTTGGAGGGCACGCCCTGGTCCCGGACCATCACGGTCAGGAGATGGCGGGAGAGATCTTCTCTATCCAGGGAGCCCGACACCACGATCACGCCTGGAGACACAAAGAAACGTACAATGGATTGGTTTAAAGTTGTTTTTTAAGCAGGAGTTTTTTATGTCACCATTGACACAATTTAGATAATTTAGGGAGGCATGCTTCGATCCTACCTGTCTAGGCCAACTCAGGCTGAGAGGATACAAAATCCCAGAAGAAAGACGAAGATGCTCGATAAAAGACGGAGCTAGATCTACATACATACGGAGATAGAAGGATGGAAAAGAGAGAGGCACAAACGAGAAAGAGAGTGTAAATATAGATATACCTGAGAAAGAAAGAGATAGGAAAACAGAAAGACAGGCAGTCAGGCAGAGAGACAGACAGGGAGATCGACAGACAGACAGATAGATGAAAGCGAGAAAGAGGGAGAGAAAGAGGAAGAAATAAAGAAAAAGAGAGAGAAAGAGAAAGATACACGATTGAAGAAAGAAAAGAGGGACACCCGAGAGAGAAAACTTTGACTTACCATTCTTAGCCCCTATGGTAAACTTGTCCAGACTTCTCGTAGAGCTGGCCGAGGCGATAGTGTACAGCAGGCGCCTGTTACGGTCACGGTCAGTAGCGCTCACCCTCAGCACGGGGCTCCCGAGTTCGGAGCTCTCCGAGATGTTGGCGCGGTAGAGCTTGTGAGAGAACACCGGCTCGTTGTCGTTGGTGTCGATGATGGTCACGATGACCTGGAGCAGGAAGTATAAGATGACATTGTAGATTTTCTTCATGTACAAACGCATGGAATCCCAATGTAATGATGTGATTTTGGAAGATTTTAGTTTAGTTTTAGTAGAGGTTTTTACGGCGCGCGCAACTGCATACGGTCATATGAGCGCCAGAAGATTAGAGGTGTTACAAGAGAGTAACAAACATAAAAAAGAAGAAGGGGAGATAAGGATGATAGATGTTTGATAGGAAAGAAGAAGCAAACCACATCAGAGCACCCGCCAACCTTGGAAAATTTACGCCCCCCTCCAATCGTTAAACTTAGATCATTTAGGAGGCGGGCTTCGACCCTGCCTGTCAAGTAAGGCCAACCCGGGCAGACAGAGATACAATGTTCCAGCACTAAGATCGAGATACTCCATAAAAATTCGAGATCCACACTCGGGAATCGAACTCATGGCTTGTGTAGATTTGAAATCTTGTCACGAGAGTGAATGTAAATAATTAACATAGTATGTGTTGCGTTCTCCGCGGCACAACTTGACTGTTTGGGCCAACCGGGCTGAGTGGAATAAAAAAAACCCCAAGTACATGCATATAGTGGGGAAACATAAGAGTACTTGATAAAATACTTCGCCACTCAGGAATCAAACTCATCCACCGCCCTTCCCTCATTTCCATACCAAGGGGCAGGGGTGGGAGGAAGGGGGGGGGGGGAGGAGGCCGGAACTCAAAATTTACGAACCATACAGTGAAACAGTATACATCTTGTATAAAAAGTCGAGCAAAAACCTGGTCAACTTTATAACTCCAGATTTCGGGATTTATCCTTTGATATTTGAGCTATCTTTCTAGTCCGTCTCACCTGGTGAGACCAGACAGGTTCGATGGCCTCACACGCGCCATTAAATACAGTTGTAGAAACGATCAAACACCTTGGGCAAATGAATTAAAAATAAGAAAGTAGTGAGAGATGAAGGGGGGAAAGAGTGTGAGTGAGTGTGTGTGTGTTCGTGTGTGTGTGTGTGTGTGTGTGTGTGTGTG